ATAGCAGAGTTATACCAAAGAGCCAAAAAACAAATATTTACCCTGACCTGATATTGGTCTACTTAGTATCCTTTTCATATATATATATATATATATATATATATATATATATATATATATGGATATGTACGTATAGGTGTGTATATGTGTGTATGTGTATAATTGTGTATATATAATATCCTTAAATTTCTTTGGGATGAAGGGAAAGTTTTGCATAAGTACACCACTCTTTTAACTTGAACTCGAGCTTTCGATGTTCTATGCCATCATCGTCTGGAGTACGTCGGCGAGATTGTTGCTGAAATTGTTCTCAAACGACAGTGAAAGAGAACACATACGAATAAAAAACTGGGCCAATGAGGTTCGATTAGGACGGATTTTTTTTAAATTTATTAATAAATGGCAAAACCATAGCTATGTTTTTTAAATTTCTGACTGATTTGGAAGAACCTGAAAATTTATCAACTATTGAAAAATCTTTCGAGATTTCATCTTTCCTAATAACCTCCACATTATCTAACACGTGGCATAGGAATAATTTTTTTTTTTCTGTAGGGATCAAAATTTCCCCATTTCTGTGCCACTGCTGTAGTGTCGCTATAGTCTAAAGGCCTGTCTATCATGGCACGAAATTTTGTGCTAAATTTCGTACAAAATTAAGGATAGTGTCAGAAAGCATTTAGTACATAATTTTTTTTTAACAAATTTAGTACTAAATTTTTTAGAAACTGTTCTAAATGATTTCTGCGCATTTGGAGCAGTACAATGGTTGATATAACCTCAAACGCTTTCATCAGTTGATGCTATCTGTTGTGTGTAACGGTTGTGTTCATCAGTTTCGCGAAACTCCCCTGCGTATGCTGTTCTACTTATAGATTATATATAAAGAGCAGTGTGGCATATTTCTAAACGAGTATGAGAAATATGATTGTTTATATGCCGTAAACAGCAAGGTCTATAAAATCAGAAAAGCCAAATAAGCTGCATTGGATAAAATGACTTAAGAACCAACTAGGCTTATAAGCCAGTGGATCCTGTACTAGAAGTTCTTTATTCAACATATGGAGCACACACATCCCCTGATCCCTCTCCCTGATCCATTTTCGGCACCACATTACATATTTTACCATTTCGTTAACTTCGTTTTCTCATGAGGTGGGCAGATACAATGTAGATCGCTGCTGCCGCAGTTGGATATAATATACTCGCACGCGAATTACGTGATCGCTACATTTTCTACAATTTTCAATTCGTTTAAAAATGAAAGCAGGAAGTAGCAATCGCAATGTAAATTGTGGTTAGAATGACTATGACGCGATAAATGACAGTTAGAAGTTGACAGTTATAGTTTTCTTCTACCAACTGCGCATGACTTCGTACGAAATTTTGCACAAAAATTTCTTCAGGTGTCAGACAGGATTGTAATTTGTAAACAAATTGTGAACTAATTTCAGTAACAAATTATCTCACAAAGTTTGTTACTAAATTTAGCACAAAATTTCATATCGTGACAGATGGCCTTGAGGCATGATTTTTTTAGGTGTCTGTTATAATGTCAGTACTACAAGTAAAAAAGTTTTGAAGTGAATGTCTCCAAAATCACTCCAAAGATATGATTTCTCTTCGATTTCAAAATTATAATCTTCAGCACCCTGCATCTCACATCTACAAGATACAATAGTGCTAGGACATCTCTATGAATTAACAGCTTTTTCTTTGTTTATCTTTGTTTGTTAAATTGCACGTTATACAGACCACTGAAACGACAACTCCACCTCGGTCAGTCAACATCGGCATTGCTTTGAAGTGCCTCGTCCTGTGACATATTAAACAGCAGCACGAACATGGTACGTATTCACACAGCCACGGCAGATGCTTTGAATTAGATTCAAATTATCTCCGCTTGCTGTATGTAATTATATCTGCTGCTTGAAGTTGAATTGCTGAAGCTGTTGGCAGATACATGTGCACAACTGCACGCTAGAAGAGGTCGACTGTGAACAAGGAGGTCGTAGGCGCCATTTCGACGAGTATCTAGTCGACCGTGACGGTCCAGATTCAACACGGCAAATCTACAATCGAGACGCTAATGCTCAGAAGGAGTGATGGACGTTTATGCGTACACATTAATTGTCTACGTATCGATGTATACAATGTGTATAAGTACAATGTATACATTGCGTATATAATGAATGCAATGTATACAATGATGAAGACAATGTATGGAATAGCATAAGTGAGGTTAGGTTTATTCGCAAACGTCAGAAATTTGGTGAACATGCAACTTCAAAGAACCATGGTTGGACGCCCCAAGAACAAACAAATCGATAAACTAGAGCTCATTTTGTTTAAAAATGGAAGGACATATTCCGTAGAGTGTAGTGTCTACAAAACAAAGTATTCCAATTCCGCTATATCTCGATTGAAATCACACAGGTGAGTTAATTTTTGTCGTATCGAACATACGGAGATCAAAGCGCTTTTACGAATTTCTCCTTGCCTAGTGTAAGCACAAGTCAAATACTAGAAACTATATAGAAAAGTTCTTTTGAACTTGTAGGAATATTTGCAGTCAAAACATAGCCCACAATGTAAATAACAAAACCAACAACCGTAATAGGAGCCGAAATTTAACAGTTCCCACAGCATAGCAGACGTTTATGATACAGTCGGGTATAAAGTTATGGAGGACGTGGTGTGTGGCGCACTCTTTCTACTTCATTTGACTACCTATACGCAACTCTGTCAGTCAAACAGGCATAGTCCCACCCCTTTGGCAAGTTTGCGATATATACATGTAAATATCGGCTCTACCTACAGTGCAGACCATTTGGCAACGTTGCTCTGACTAACCACTCTGCCACTCACCAAGCATGGCAGCAACCTACCGCTCACGCCGCGGCGCAGATATCATGTTTAGGGCGAACATACGGGGAAATTTATGATATGTGAAATACATCTAATTTCCGTGCACTCGTATAATTATCTCGCGAGACGACAGTAGCAACGCTGCTGTAACTCATGTTCAAGAACACCAGCGATATAGTCTAATCACATTAGCAAATTTTCCTAAAATAATTGTAAAGTCTGGTTTTATTGGTGCAAGATGTTCAAGAGAGTATTTAAAACATGGACGCATAAAATGGGTACACCAATTTTTGTGGGAAAACACAACACAACACAACAAAGAATGAGAAAACTTGTTTTTTGAGACTCAATCGAAAGTGTTCACAGGAACGAAAAAACATTTTATATAAGATTTTTAGGTATTTATGAGACCTACAAAATGAGATCACATGTAAAAATATCCGACTAATAGCAAAAATGTTATGGCCGAAAAAAGAGGCAAAATGCAGGTTTTGGCACTTGTTGGTAATGCGACGATAATTTCACGCAACTAATTGAAATTCTTTACACCCGTAGGATTCATACTTCTTAATAACTACAATAAAATTTGAGTATATTGGTCAAGTAGTTCTCTTAGAATTCCTAATTGCTGATCCCAAAACACCTGTTTTCCGGCCATCACTACTAGTTTATTGAGCAATATACAGGGTAAGTTCAAACAGCATCCAATAGCAAAATACACGTGTTTATCTTGCTGATATGAATCACAAACCAGTCCGAAAGATGAATGTTATTTTTATGCGAAAAACAAAGGTTACGTTTTTTCTTCTAAACCAATTCAAACATCTCGTATTTGTGAGTAATTGAACAAATGCGCTGCGATATTCGAAAAACATAGTAACGTATGTTTACACATTTTAAAACAGATCGGATGTGTCCATCATCTTTTTTTGCGAATACTCACAAATACGAAATGTTTGAATTTGTTTAGAAGAACAAACGTAACTCATCCTTTTTGCATAAAAATAACATTTATCTTCCGGGATGGTTTGCGCTTCATATCGGCCAGGTAAACTAGTGTATTTTGCTATAAAATCCCTTTTGAACCAACCCTTCATATTGCTCAATAAACTAGTAGTAATGGCCGGAAAACCGGTGTTTTGGGATAAACAATTAAAAATTCTCAAAAACTACTTGACAAATCTACTCCAATTTTGTTGTGGTTACGAATCCTACGAATTTAAAGAATTTCAAATATCTGCGAGGAACCATCGTCCCATTACCAACAAGTGCCAAAACCTGCAGTTTGCCACGATTTCCATAACTTTCATGCTATTGGTCGGATCTTTTTACATGTACTCTCATTTTGTAGGTCTCATAAATACCTAAAAACCTTATATAAAGAGTTTTTCCGTTCCTGTCAACACTTTCGATTGAATCAAAAAAAATTCGTTTTCTCATTCTTTGTTGTCGAATAAAAAGTTTTCCCACAAAAATTGGTGTACCCAATTTATGCGTCCATGTTTTAAATATCCCTTAAGCAACTTGCAGCAGTAAAACCAGACTTCGCAATTATTTCGGAAACCAGGGGTACTTTCGTCTAATATGATTAGAGTGATACACTAATACGCATTTGGGGCCTGCTGCACGAATTAAGGAGACCCGCGAAGCACGACAGATACGCGAGAAGCGTCTGTAAGCATTATTCTTCAAAAAGGAAGCAGTTTGAGCGACTTTTATTCTCTCATTTTTGCCCCTAGCTTCGCCGCCACTGCACCGATTCTCAAAAACTACAAAGCTTTTTCGTTGTTGGATAGTAGTAACCTTGTGTGAAAATTCCATCCAAACCTGAACCGTACTTTCCAAGTTACAGAAGGATCAACTATGAGCAGACAGGCAGACAGACTGATGGACATGAGTGACATGGTTTTTCATGACGTGATGTGTTATTCGACATCCGGAAACATAATGTTCGATTTTCTAAATTGTTTGCAACAGTAAAGCTATCCCGCCTTTGGCAAGGAAAGTAAAGGCAGCAGGCTTCTGTTGTAATGAGACTCGCAAGTGCGACAAGCCCGCTTCGCAGACCTAGGATACAAATGCAACAAAAATCTAAATGTATACAGAACAGTTTAAAAAATGATTGTACTCACTAGTGCAGTACCGTGGCTCATCACTGCCATCGCCGCAATCGTCCCGCCCATCGCAGTACTTGTGCAGTGGAACGCATCTGCCATTGGCGCACGCATGTTCTGCGTAGTTACATCGGGCGGGAGGCGGAGCTTTGGAAGATGTGGGCGGAGTTCCGCGTGCTGCCAGCGCCGCCCCTGCAGTCAAGGTCAGAAGGAGGAGGAGCCAACAGCAGGCGGAGCTAGGAGGAGGGGGCATCACGTCGCGTCGGGTCTCCCGCTGAAAAAAAATTACACAAGGTATTTTAATAACAGTTTTTAAAATAATCAAGACAATATATTTTACTCAAATAAAACAATATTTTAAGATTAGATTAGATTATTTTGCAATGTTACCAAAAGGTTGTAAGAAGCGATAATATCGGTATAACCTGGCTCAGCAAGGTTTATGCTACTGATAAAAACACGTTAGACGGAATAAATCAGCTCATCATCTGGCATCTTTTACAGCTGTATCAATAGCTGAGCATAGCCTCAAAGATCTTGTCATAAACAGGAGTGACATCACTGACTCAATTCCATGGATTGAAGTACGTTTCGTTTCGAATAGCTTGAACTTGCTGTTTATTCTTAAAATCATTATTGGATGAAATTAAATCATTGCAATGATAATTTTTCCATAAATATTATTCGTGCATCTTATGCAAAATGTTTACTAGGCTTTCTGTTTGAGCGACTTTGAAAAAAAAAACGGGTTGAACGTTCTTATATGGATTTTCAGAACTTTTAGGAGAGCTGTACTTCTTCTAAAAACATGGTAATATGCAAAGAAACATCTAAAGAACCTATATAGAACAAACAAGAAAGAGAAGGCTTAGATTTATTCCTTAAGTAGTCCACAGTAACCGCGAATGAGCAGACAGTCTCGTACCTTGTTACCTTTGTGTGGGAGCTTTGAAGTGTCGTTCAAGAAACACAAACCACAGGATAGAGATTACACGAGCAAAATACCCAACTCTCTGGCTGACAAACGGGTTACAATTTGAGATAGTTCATAAGCCATAAATTTAAACCTTGGGCACACCACCACCAAAGTTTGTTATACGTAAATATATAACCTAAGTAAAAGAAAGAATCCAGTGTTTGTCTTTAACCTTTGATGTGAAAGTAGCGGGGAGAGTATTATACACTGACCTTTGACGGCGATTGAAAAGGTCACATCAAAAAGATTAGTCAAAGGTGGTCAAGGAAAAAAGATTAAAGTGATTTTTAAAAGCACACATGCTACGAAAAAATTGCAAGATTCTTGAAGTGTCCAATATTTTGGAAGATGTAGATATCAAAGCCAGCTAAGAAAATTTGGATAACTCTGAGGATTCCGACAGATTGGGAAAAAATGGCCACAATACAGTAAAAAAAATACTTTTTGTATATCCTTATTTTTAATTAGCTACTAAGTCCAATAATTTAACTATTTAAATTCCTAAAAAAATGATCATGTATCATTTCAAAATGAGCTCGTCTCTGGTTGCACACCTTCACGAATTAGGTCTTAGAAGAAACATTCTTAAGGTAAACCACCATGTTTACTGACCGTTAAATTAAACCACATATGGATGACTGACCTTCTATTAATATTTCGGCCACCTCAACGTCCTTCTCCAGAGTGCAAAACAAAAAATTATGCTAAACCAAAACCATTTTTCAGCGCTGCTATAAAAACCTCTTTTTCACCATAGATTTATTTTATTGTCTCTGCCATGGTCTTCACCCGTATCTCTACGTAGATAAAAGTCTCCAGTAAAAAATTCACAACCCCTGACGACAGCTTTGCCCTACAAACATTATTTACTGTGAATGTATTTCGAGGAAAGAAGAATCCTCTTTGGTATTCGAAGGATCATCAATAGTCGGCTGTTCTCGGTCGAGGCACTAACCAAAAGTATACAGACTGAAGAGAAGTGAGCTCACACGTTATTTATTCGTATGACAAGTCTTATCTTACTCTGCTCCTCCGATTTGCACGGCGTCTCTTGGAGGTGATCCACATGCAAGCTAGAAAAATATTAAAGTATTTTGCAAGAAACTCAACAAGAACCACTATTCAGTCTAAGGGTTGTCTTGATACCTATCACTCAGTTACTGAATGTTTATTTTGCAATGGTTTACTCACAAATATATCACGTGATACTATAGGGAAACTCACTATTGGCTGCAAGAGTATTCGTTGCACAGAAAGAGATCGTCCATTTAATGTTTGGCCTGAAGTAAAAAAAAATCATGTTGCCTTTTGTTAAAAGCTAATACATATATATATAGGAAAATAATGGGCAAAATCCGCTAAAAGAAGGAAAATGTATTGGAGCAGAAAATAAGATAGTTAACCCGAGCGATACGTATTTCTGCTGGTTGGCTTCATCAGACCCGAAATGAATGCACATAATATAACTACAAAAGTAGACACACATGTCCATACATCCGGATACGGGTGTAACCTGAGGAAACGAAGATGGAAAGGGAAAAAATCACGCACGAAGTCCATAACAAGAGCCAACCTACACATTGTAGTATAAAATGGCTAGAAGACACCGAATTTTCAAGGAGACATCTAACCACAACCACGCGGCCGGTTATAGCCACTTGCTGTGGTACTTTAAGCCCAAAGGATCTACAAAAAGAAAATGATCATGCAGAGAAAGGTATATAACAAAAAATAGGAAAATAATGGGAAAAATCCGCTAAAAGAATTTTGTGCGACCATCAGGTGGCTCACGATGTAATTTTTAACTTTCGTTTTAAATATTTTTAATCCGTTTTAATTTGATCTTGACATCCAGCTGTGTGTAGTTTGTAATAATTTTGACGTTTTCACCAGGTTACTGGGTGTTTCTCTCAACCTAAACGTGAATAACATTTAGCAACATCCTCACATACTACTGTCCTGATGATGATGGCAAAGACGATTGAAAGCTAGAGAGATTAATAAAGTACAAAGTATAAAGAGTCCTCTTTGCTTATAATTTTTGCCGAAGTACCCAACAAAAGGCGGAAGCTTTAATGTGATCAGAAAATTACCCTTCCAACGGCTGGTCCGTGAAATAGCGCAAGATTTCAAGACCGATTTGCGGTTCCAACCATCATGCCGAAAGATATACATCTGGCGAACGCGCCTAATGGAATTGACGGTTTTACTATTTGTCGGAGAGAGAGAGAGATCATTTTCTCTCTCTCTCTATATATATATATAAAAAGTAGGAAAATAATGGGAAAAATCCGCAAAAAGGAGGAAAGTGGATTCGAGCAGAAAATAGGATAGGTAACCCGAGCGATACGTATTTCTGCTGGTTGGCTTCATCAGGCCTGAAATGAATGAACATATGAAACTACAAAAGTAGATACACATGCCCACGCATCCGGATACGGGTGTAACCTAGGAAACGAAGATGGAGAGGGAAAAAACGTGACACGAAGTCCACAACAAGAGCCAACCTACACATTCTAGTTTAAAATGGCTAGAACATCTCGAATTTTCAAGGAGACATGTAACCACAACCACGCGGCCGGTTATAGCCACTTGCTGTGGTACTTCAAGCCCAAAGGATCTACAAAGAGAAAGTTTCCTTCCTCTGCATGATCATTTTCTCTCTATATATATATATATATATATACAGTTATAATGGAATCACGTTGTCAAAAAAGTTTATAACCACGTAGGAGAAAAACTCCAACATACGTAACTGTGATACCAGAGGTAGCACTCCTTTGAGGCATTATGCGCAAAACAACTCGATACGAAATTTCAGATAGACCACAGGCTCTTCAACTCTTTAAATCATTCTCTGGAATCTACGAGTGATGAAAATAGCTTTAAGAGAACACTAAAAGTGCTTCTTCTGAAAAATTGCTTCTATTATGTGCAAGGATTCTTATAATCGAATCTGTTATACTTTTTAATGAACTTCTATTTTACCATTGTGTCTATATGACCTCAAGTGCAGTTTTTATAAACATCAAATGACATATTCAATATCTTTTCAGGATCTATACGACGAATAAATTTATGAGTATCATTATTATTATTTGGAAGAATTCAATAGGGATCTGACCGAATCTATGTGGCGATTATGAATGAGATATATGTTTAAACGTTAAGAACAAAAATGGAAAGAGATGCTGTTAATTGATTACTTTGGAAAGGGTAGAACAATTACGGGCCAATACCATTTCAGCCTCGTTGACTAAGTAGATGTCAAAATTCGATAGAGAAGGCACGGTTTGAAGAAAAACATTACAACGCACCAACTCAAAGGTGTGTTGATAACTGGAAACTACAGTATTTAGCGCTTCAGTTTGCTCGGTCATCCTCCTATTATTTTCTTTACTTGGTACCACCTCACTTCCATCTGTTCCCAGCTTTGAAGATGCTTCTTGCTGGGAAACGCTTCAAGTCCGAAGAGGAAGTTGAGAGGACCGCAAACAAATTCATAGATAAGAATAACAATATATAAGTAAATAATGGACAATAATATACTATCTTGCAACTTCATCAAGGTAAAGTTCGATGACGCAAGATTTAGTGTCACTGAATATGTCGCAGATAAAAGGAAATAATTTTTAAATTAAAGATAGTGTCAGCCCGACAATTTTTCACCATACGCCCAATATCCTGCGGCCATCTATACTTCCTATGATGACCGGCTATGTGACACTGGTCCTAACAGACTGTTAGACATTTGAAAGGTAATTTTGTATCCAGTTCGAATACAAATTATCACTGCCTGCATGTACGCAGGTGAAAACCATTTCGAAGCAAGACGGCACTCCCCAATGAACGCTAGGCGGGTACTGACCAAAATTGCTCATCTCTGATCATTGAGGTGAAAACCTTGCCTTGGATTGTACGAGATGCGGTTTTGCCAAGCGAACCAATGATCCAATGTTGCAGAATTTGAAGTGATCCTGACCTTTCATTTCGACCTGGAGCGCCGTTACGACCGATCCGGAATCGATCCTAAACAGACTGGACACCGATAAGTGAACCAATGATCCAATGTTGCAGAATTTGTGGCGATCCTGACCTTTCATTTCGACCTGGAGCGCCATTACGAACGATCCGGAATCGTTCCTAAACAGATTCGACACAATCACAATTCAAAAATGTGTACGCTCAAAATAAAACCCGACGTAGAGAATAAACTAACGCATATTTTCAACGTGCATCTTAATTCAAGGAATTGGTGTAACATATAGGCGACGCGGCAGATTGCCGCATCAGAATTGCTAGCATATGTGTATACACGCAGTATAGTACTTATTGAACTCAAACCGTCAGACAGATTTGGTTCTCAGTGTATGAATGTAGTAGAACAATGTAACCTCAGTACTGAAAGTAGTATCCTACAATTTATATACAGAAGTCTTGAATTCGCTAATTTTATACATTTTCAGTGACATACTAATTGAATTTTCAATTTTCTTACTTGGTACTCACCACCCTTAGAGACTGAAGAACTATAAAATTATATAATTTCCATAATATTAGTTTGTAAAAGCTTGGCAAAACAACATGACAGTTGCTGAAAGATGGCGAATTCGGTGAACTCTGACGTTAATAAATGGTTTTCGTCCGTTTTTTAAGATTGCTCAGCCTGAAAGGAGACTTCACGTTTATGTCCTGATGAAAGTAAACATTTTCGGAAGCTTTACTTGAACGAAAAATCACGTTCTCTCAGGTAAGACTTCATTTTGCGTCTGGCTGCTTCTTAGAGTTTGTACAATGAACAATTTTGTAATAAGTAGATACCTACTACTACTACTATTTAGTCTGTAGACTTCGGCACTAACCTACGAAACCCAATCGCATTCGTCGGCTCCTGCATAATTTAATTTTAAATCTCTTACCGTGAATTCCATTGGGGGTGAAGCTGGAAGGCTGCTTATGCTCAGAAGGATTCTTGGTGTGCATATTTATGGATAATATAAATAGATTACAAATGGCAACAAGCTTAGGAGATCTGTAAATTGTGATTTCTGTTTTACTTCCTACGCCACTGACGAAGAACTATTGGAATCGCGAAAGAATGAGACATTATGTTTGTTAAATGATATATGACATGTGCATCACGAAAAACAATGTCCCACTTCCGTTGGCCTGTCTGTCGGTCTGTAAATCCTCTAACTCTCAGCGTGTCTGGAACTTGAAAAGTGCTGTCCGGATTTTGATCAAATGGTCACACTAGGTTACTACCATTCTAAGAAACAAGAACTAAAAAGCCGGCAAACTTTATTTGTTGACATTTGAGAAGCTCCTGATCATATATATGAAAGATTTTGGCGGGGGAGGATATATTAAATTTTTTGGCGGTAGTATATTTTTACGCTTCCAGACCTGGTAATTCTACGCCCATTTTTATCGTACTTCACATATCGTAGACTGTAGACATTGGACCTTAAAACTTGGACTGATAAAAAATATCTCCGTCACACATCAATAGCGGCATCACAGTCTCCCCCACGAGTGTCATAGAGTCACTGCCGTGCTGCCGAATCTGACCAGTGGATTCATCGATCGGTGAGGCATGGAGGAAAGGATGACGTTGCCAGATGGACGTTAGGTAAGGGAAAAGATGTATAGTTTGTATCGATCCGCTTAATTTCTCTATTTTTCAAGTTCTCATTCAACTTTTTTCTCATAGGTCTGAAAATAATCCTTTTTGAAATAATGACAGCGTTGTGTGGGAAGTGCAGAGTCAACCTACTTGCTGCTATTTTTTATTTACTATGATGACAAGAATTCTGCTATCGTGTTTGGGCCAATTCAAACGTTAGGTTTTTTCAAGGATGTTTAATTTAGCTTGAACCTGGCACCTGAAATAACCCATGGCAGTTTCTTCGCCATATCGTCTTATTCTGCCGCTTATCAAATAAATGACTTAAATTTAATTTTCTTCCTCTTATCCTTTACTGCCCATTTTATTGCTCGTGGCTTTTCCGGGCCCTCCAATTTTCCGACTCGCCTTCTCAAGCCTAGATATAATTTAATTTATCCTTGCCTCGGCGATGTTTTACATTTTAATATTGCGGAAACAACGTTTATGTGGGCTGGTTCATTCACGGTGATGGGAAGCAGCAAGTTCAAAATTGCGGTGAAATTGTTTTATTACTTTGGTATGTATTCCATAAAAACTAACACAACTTTTTAGACAAGGTTATTGACTGGTGGCCGCCATAGGTTGTCGGTCCTGTGATGCATGACTTAGAATGTACATTGAGCGAGCGCTTGACAAACATCCGTGCAGGTCCAAAAATCCTCGTCTTTGACTCGGCACGGGTATCATGTAAAAAATCTACAAAACATCAAAAAAACCTATGTCAACTTGCAGACTAGGTAGTTTTTAGAGCACAAACAGTCATTCCACGTTTGCTCACTAGAATCGTTGTGAACGTCCATCTATGAAGGAATCACTCAACTAACTACACGCATTATTGGTTGCATAGTTTTGTGAGGCTGAGTAATCCGTGTCTGTAGTTTTTATCTCTGGGAAGAAAGTTGGTTGAATAACAAGTTATCATCTGGATGACTATGAGTATTGGTCTGTATGTGTATAAAAATCAGTGATATTTGCTATGTGAGAAAATCATTACTAAATATGCTGAATATGACGGGTTATTTATATGTTGTGCTTTCTGAAGAGAGGTTCAAAGTTACGAAAAACTGAGGAGAATTACGGGAAATCATCACCGCGCCCGCGTCGTTTGTAATTACTGTTAGCATGTATATGGCTTGTAATTCGACAGTGTACAGTGAATATAATTATTTCTTATCTCTCTCATTTTTGAAATTCAGCAAATTTGTATATGTAATTTCCAGAATGGATAAGAAAAGGTGGATGTGCAACTAATTACTAGCTTTGAATCTCAATCAAGTGTATTTAGTCTTAAGCAGAGAAATCTAAACGCTCCAGCGTGTAGAATAAAAAACAATTTCCCGCAGTACCCGGACTTCTCAGAGCTAACCCGACAGACGTCCCGGCGTGTCTGTCGCAGCAATTCCGCTGTACCAACAAAAATTAAAACAGTTAATGAAACCGGGCGCCAACTCCCAACAGAATTAAAAAAATAATTAAACGGGAGAAGTTCATAATTGCAAAGTCAGTTAACCATTTGTCTGTCTTTTTACAATAGTTTTTTCATGCACCGGACTACTATTCTTTACCCTTGACGTCTCGTCTAACCCCTTTTTGCTCATTTAATTTTTATGCTTTGTTCTGGTCGGAAAATGAACTGCAATTTTGCATGGTTTATTCTGTTCAGTTTTTCTCAAGTAGAATGAAAACTTTCGGGTACTTTACCTGATGTGAAAGTTTGCTGAATTCAACCATTAGAACTCTTCACTTGAAACGCTGGCGGTTTTTCTTCTCCCACAGAGAGTAGTATGTCCTGTTTAATGGCTGTTCAAAGTGCTAAAATTGCTTTTCATCGAAATAAATTGAGTAGTTTCCAGGATTTTACAAAACTCAATACATAAAGGATGCCCCACATAGAACTGTCGCTATCGAAAGTTGACATTTCTCAGAGAGGACGGCCTGAAACGGTAGATGTTGAAGCTGTATTAGAGGAAGTGGAAGGAGATCCATCGACTTCAGTCAGAATGATAGCAAGGTGGACTGGAATACCAAGATCTACAGTTCACAAAGTTTCATCCCTACCACATTCAACATGTTCAGGCTTTAGAAGAGAGAGATTACCTGGCGAGAGTTAGCTTTTGCAGAGAAATGTTACGAAGGCATGAATTGGACCCCAACTTTTTTGATAAAATAATTTGGAGAGATGAACTGGCTTGCAAGCGTGGTGGTTATGTAAATTTACATAACCTTCACAGTTGGCAGACAGTAAATCCTCACGAAATGACAGCAGATCGGTCGCAGAACCAGTGCAAAATAAATTTATGGAGCGGGATTCTTAGTGGTCAGATATTAGGACCTGTGGAACTGCCACCAACGCTCACATTAGAAAATTATTTAGAGTTTCTGCAGAAACGGCTTCCAATTCTTTTAGAAGATATACCCTTGAATCTGCGGCGTACACTATGGCTACAACATGACGGCTGCCCTGGTCACTACAGGCGTGAAGTTCGGGGCCAATCACGTGGCCTGCTCGATCACCAGACCTGAATCCATTAGATTTCTTCTACTGGGGCTATCTTAAGGGCAACGTTTATTCAAAACCAGTTCAAAACGAAGAACATTTGCGAGAACAAATACATCACGCTGCTGCTGAGATGGCCCAATTGAATCTGAGAACTCTAAAAGCTCTCTTAAGAGATGTCGAGCTTGTATTAGAGTAGGAGGTCGCCAATTTGAGCATATGTTGTCAATAAATGAATATTTTTTTTTGCACAAACAATTTGTGCTTTATTTCACGCTAAGCCGTCCTTTACAAAAATAATTCTTTTGTATTGATACTGAATCGAGTCAAAATTTAAGTAAGTTTCATAAAATCATATCAGGAGCTGGTAATAATAATGTAGCTTTGTGCTATTTAACATTTCACTGGTCGGTAACCAGTGCAACTTGAATTTAAATCCAATAATTACATTGTAGTGTGTCAGTAACTTACAAAAGCAGCTATCACTTTTTTCTATTCCAAATAGTACGTGTGGTGCCTTTCTGAAATCTGTATTCAATGAGCAATCTTTTTATTAAATAGAATGCAGTTATAGCCTAGTACATTCTTGTTTCACCACAGATGGTCACAGTTGAGGAAAAAATATCAGAAGGTTATAAATCCCAAAATAGTCCTTATTTGATCATGGTTCCTTAATATATTTTAACTACATTGCATTTGTATATAATAAAGCAGCTATCTAGAAGTATTTTATAGAAAAAATGAACAAAGTATAACCTTATTTGTACATGCAGCTAAATACCACAGATGAAAAGGTTCGTTTTTTAAAATTCAAGACAAAATTCAATATCTCAAAAACGGTGACACTTTTATATAGGTAAGTTTTTGTAATTTGGGAGGTCAGTCCTAGGCCTACCTTCTCCTTAAGTTTGTCGTGGTACTTATTGGACACCCTGTATAACTTTTATTGTTGATAATGTGGATAAGAATGAAAAATTGGCTTGTATATTCTCAATCTGTCTAAGGCCTTCGACACGATAGACCATCAAATATTCTTGCTAAACACAGACTACGAGGTACATGTGCATAGCTTATAGAATCTTGACATTGAAGCAGCTTGTCTGTATAACCCGGAGTGGTGTCAGGCATTTTTCATCTGTAGCCTTGATTAAGCAGTATGTGCCGCAGGGGTCAATTCTGGCACCGTTGTTGTTCCTGCTCTATGTGAATGGCCTTTGTGACGGATTTATGGAAGGTCTGATTTGCCAGTATGCGGATGACGCTACTATTGCACTGTCTGCGTGTGTCCGGGTCTGTTCTTGTGCAGTCGGGACCATGCAGGATTGGCGCAAGGATCATGCTTTAACATTGAATGCTGATATAACTGGACTTGCCACGTTCAGTAAAACTTCTGCCAGGGGTAAGTCGCTGTTGGTTCGTTGTAATAGCAGATCAATACCAGAGATTACTGATATAAAGTTTTCCGGCATTTTCCTGGATCCTGGATTCGAGTCAGAATTGGGAATGTTAAACAACTGTTTTGATTGGTAAACTCCACAGCTTATGTGCGTTGGTGCGGCGGCTGCGGAATGAGGTTTCATTGAACACTGTACGGCAATTTTATTATGCATCTGTACAGTCATTGTTAATTTATAGTATAATGTTCTGGGGCTCTTCGCTTAAGATTGAGATTCTTCACGGTTTTGTCACTTGTTTTATTTGTTAAAAAGCATATGTATCGTTTTAATAGTACCGCACATTGTTATGCTGAAAGCATGAACATTGTGACCAGAGGCAGAGACAATCTGAGTGTGCCTGCTCATTCGTCCACATTTTTTAAAAGGGCTTCATTATACATGGCTGTTAAAACTTTTAATATACTTCCTATCGATATAAAATCTGAGAACAACCCCATTAGTTTCAAAAGAGTGGTGAAAACGTTTTTGCTGAACAGATGTTTGTACAGCTTTGATTTCAACATGTGAGCTCTATCATTTTATTTTAATAACATTTTAAGTTAATTTTAACATACTGAACTTGTGATTGTCATTTTAACAGTTTTTAATATTGTATACACACATGTACAACAAAATCGAATTTTGGCCGGTTACCATTGTACAATATTTGATAATTTAGTTGTAACATATCACTTTACATTTGTATTTTTTATTGATTTTTTATATATGCATTTGTGACATTTTTTAAGGTATACCTACTTGTGGTACCTGGATTTCTTGGCGGAGACAAAAATCTGAGAGTCTGCACCGATTAATCATCTTATCTTCCCAAATTACGAGGTGCACTTCAATCTGTGAAAGAACGAGGGAGTTATGGCTTTTGTCCGTAGCAGTATTACCCTCATGAGACGTTTCTTTGGAATCAGATCGAAAGGATATTCTGTGGCTTCGCCTCAACTCCAAAACATGCCCCAAATTTATTTGCTGCCTTTATCGCTCTCCTTCGAACCATAACTGAGATGACCTACATCAATACCTCGCTGTCAAGATCGACTCCCTACTCCAGATGTGATTCTCCTCGGTGATTTCAATGCCTATAATGAGCTTTGGGTTAGCGCAAACAAGACCGATGCAGCAGTTTGTGCAGTTAAAGCGTTCGCTATTACCCAAGGGCTGACCAAACTGGTGGCGAGCGCTACTTTTTTCCCCGCGTTTCGTCACATGCCAGTAGCCCGCTGGATCTATTTCTGACCACGCATCCTGTCCCTTATAGCACTGCTGTCCTGTCTTCCCTTGGTAACTCAGACCACGAAACTTAGGTTTTGCCAGAACCCGCTGTGGCAGCAGAAACACGCTCAGGCGGCAAATTTGGCATAACGGGCATGCCGACTACCTCGGCATTCAGAGGCTTCTTGTCCACCTTTCCTTGGAGAGAAGTTTGTTTCGCTGTCGCGTAATTGTCGGCTGTTTGTTTATCGATATAGAAATAATCCACGTTAGAATGGAGGCATACATCCCTCACACAGTGGAAGTGCCTAAACCAGGGTCCAACAGCTGATTCAACAAATCATGCGACACTGCTCGCCAGCAGGAGATCAAGGCACACAGAACGTTTTTACAAAACACCACTGTAGAGAACAGGCAAGCCGACATCGAGGGAGTCCTGAAACAAATATAACGAAGCGGTTCGTAATACCAAAGACCAGCACGATATAAAATTTTGGCACAGAGTAATGTCACAGACACTATGCGAGAAGTAACATTCAGGCATAAGACTGTAAGACGGGTGCTCTTGTTGCTCGACATCAACAAAGCTTCTGGTCCGGACGTAATTCCTGCCACCTTCCCAGAAAACTGGAAATTTGCTTATGTCCCAAAAAAGGATGTGAGACCGACCCTTACAACTACAGGCCTATGGCTCTGCTTTCTGTTATAAGTAAGGTGACGGAGAGGTACATAAGTCGAGATCTTCTGGTTTACCTCGAACGTCACGGCTTGGTTAGCAACAGGCAGTATGGTTTCCGGCACCAGCAATCCACAGGGGACCTCCTAGCTTACGTCACGCAATTGTGGAGGAAACTCATGCAGTCTTATGATGAGCCTCATGTTGTCGCTCTTGATATCACGAGAGCGTTCGATCAGCTGTGGCTCGCTGCCCTCTTGTGCAAACTTCCATCCTACTCGTACTTCCCAGACAAGCTTGGCTGACTTTTTCTCTGAAAGCAAGATATCCGTCGTAATTGACGGGTTCTCCTCTTCATACCACAATGTCAACGCAGGTGTTCCCCAGGATCGATCTTGGCTCTGACACTGTTCCTCTTACATATCAACGACCTCCTTTCCCGTACGATCAACCCAATCCACTGCTGATGACAGCACTCTACGTGCAGGAATTCGCATCGACAAGCCGATCTGTGCCGTTGAGCTGGAAAAAGAAGACTAGCGTCCTTTCTGACGAGAGACCTAGAAGTTATCACTGCTAGGGAACAGAACTTGTACTTGTACAGTTTAATGCTTCCAAAACACAGTACTGTACCCTGACGAGCAAAAAGCGTCCTAGCGCTCATCCGGTTTCAATGGATGGCCGAGTGTTGAAAAAGGGCGGTTCATTTCGGCTACACGGAGTCCAAATCACCGAAGGCTTCATCTGGCGTGAACACATCTCGTAAATGATGACGGCTGCTGGGAAAATCTAGGTTATTTTTTAGGGTTAAGAAGTTTCCTCCGCATGACATCCTCACTTTATACAAGGCAAGAAAAGACCTAGCCTTGAGTATTGCTCACACGGTTGGAGTGCTACCGTCCCAACTACAATATATACAATATAGACTAAGGCTGACCGTCCGATCGATGACTCTACTCCAACAGGCAGTTTCAGGACCCTTTCGCACCGGCGGGCCGTCGGTGATCTAGATCTCTTCAACCGCTATACCAATGGGCTTTGCTGTATTAAAACATCTCAGATGG